CTTAGACCTGAGTGCAAAAATGGAGGCTCTAGCCCCTTCCAGAGCTGAGATATCGAAACTCAAAATTCGGCCCGAAAAAAAAAACGACAGTGGTACCCCTTACGTTTTTTTTTGGGCGAAAAATTAAGTTTCTCCAATCTTCCCAAATTCTGGATAGAGGGCCATGAGACTTAGACCTGAGTGCAAAAATGGAGGCTCTAGCCCCTTCCAGAGCTGAGATATCGAAACTCAAAAATTCGGCCGAAAAAAAAAAACGACAGTGGTACCCCTTACGTTTTTTTTTTGGGCGAAAAATTAAGTTTCTCCAATCTTCCCAAAACTCTGGATTTATAGAGGCCATGAGACTTAGACCTGAGTGCAAAAATGGAGGCTCTAGCCCCTTCCAGAGCTGAGATATCGAAACTCAAAATTCGGCCCGAAAAAAAAAAACGACAGTGGTACCCCTTACGTTTTTTTTTTTGGGCGAAAAATTAAGTTTCTCCAATCTTCCCAAAACTCTTTCTGATAGAGGGCCATGAGACTTAGACCTGAGTGCAAAAATGGAGGCTCTAGCCCCTTCCAGAGCTGAGATATCGAAACTCAAAAATTCGGCCCGAAAAAAAAACGACAGTGGTACCCCTTACGTTTTTTTTTTTGGGCGAAAAATTAAGTTTCTCCAATCTTCCCAAACTCTGGATTCTGATAGAGGGCCATGAGACTTAGACCTGAGTGCAAAAAATGGAGGCTCTAGCCCCTTCCAGAGCTGAGATATCGAAACTCAAAAATTCGGCCCGAAAAAAAAACGACAGTGGTACCCCTTACGTTTTTTTTTTTGGGCGAAAAATTAAGTTTCTCCAATCTTCCCAAACTCTGGATCTGATAGAGGCCATGAGACTTAGACCTGAGTGCAAAAATGGAGGCTCTAGCCCCTTCCAGAGCTGAGATATCGAAACTCAAAAATTCGGCCGAAAAAAAAAACGACAGTGGTACCCCTTACGTTTTTTTTTTTGGCCGAAAAATTAAGTTTCTCCAATCTTCCCAAAACTCTGGATTCTGATAGAGGGCCATGAGACTTAGACCTGAGTGCAAAAATGGGAGGCTCTAGCCCCTTCCAGAGCTGAGATATCGAAACTCAAAAATTCGGCCCGAAAAAAAAAACGACAGTGGTACCCCTTACGTTTTTTTTTTTGGGCGAAAAATTAAGTTTCTCCAATCTTCCAAAACTCTGGATTCTGATAGAGGGCCATGAGACTTAGACCTGAGTGCAAAAATGGAGGCTCTAGCCCCTTCCAGAGCTGAGATATCGAAACTCAAAAATTCGGCCCGAAAAAAAAAACGACAGTGGTACCCCTTACGTTTTTTTTTTTGGCCGAAAAATTAAGTTTCTCCAATCTTCCCAAAACTCTGGATTCTGATAGAGGCCATGAGACTTAGACCTGAGTGAAAAAATGGAGGCTCTAGCCCCTTCCAGAGCTGAGATATCGAAACTCAAAAATTCGGCCCGAAAAAAAAAACGACAGTGGTACCCCTTACGTTTTTTTTTGGGCGAAAAATTAAGTTTCTCCAATCTTCCCAAAACTCTGGATTCTGATAGAGGGCCATGAGACTTAGACCTGAGTGCAAAAATGGAGGCTCTATCCCCTTCCAGAGCTGAGATATCGAAACTCAAAATTTCGGCCCGAAAAAAAAACGACAGTGGTACCCCTTACGTTTTTTTTTTTTTGGGCGAAAAATTAAGTTTCTCCAATCTTCCCAAAACTCTGGATTCTGATAGAGGGCCATGAGACTTAGACCTGAGTGCAAAAATGGAGGCTCTAGCCCCTTCCAGAGCTGAGATATCGAAACTCAAAAATTCGGCCCGAAAAAAAAACGACAGTGGTACCCCTTACGTTTTTTTTTTTGGGCGAAAAATTAAGTTTCTCCAATCTTCCCAAAACTCTGGATTCTGATAGAGGGCCATGAGACTTAGACCTGAGTGCAAAAATGGAGGCTCTAGCCCCTTCCAGAGCTGAGATATCGAAACTCAAAAATTCGGCCCGAAAAAAAAACGACAGTGGTACCCCTTACGTTTTTTTTTTTTTTGGGCGAAAATTTAAGTTTCTCCAATCTTCCCAAAACTCTGGATTCTGATAGAGGGCCATGAGACTTAGACCTGAGTGCAAAAATGGAGGCTCTAGCCCCTTCCAGAGCTGAGATATCGAAACTCAAAAAATCGGCCCGAAAAAAAAAACGACAGTGGTACCCTTTACGTTTTTTTTTTGGGGCGAAAAATTAAGTTTCTCCAATCTTCCAAAACTCTGGATTCTGATAGAGGGCCATGAGACTTAGACCTGAGTGCAAAAATGGAGGCTCTAGCCCCTTCCAGAGCTGAAGATATCGAAACTCAAAAATTCGGCCCGAAAAAAAAACGACAGTGGTACCCCTTACGTTTTTTTTTTTCGGGCGAAAAATTAAGTTTCTCCAATCTTCCCAAACTCTGGATTCTGATAGAGGGCCATGAGACTTAGACCTGAATGCAAAAATGGAGGCTCTAGCCCCTTCCAGAGCTGAGATATCGAAACTCAAAAATTCGGCCCGAAAAAAAAAACGACAGTGGTACCCCTTACGTTTTTTTTTTTTGGCCGAAAAATTAGGTTTCTCCAATTTTCTCAAAACTCTGGATTCTGATAGAAGGCAATGAGACTTAGACCTGAGTGTAAAAATGGAGAGCTGAGATATTGAGATATTTATAATGGCATAAATGCTACATGGGATCTCAATGTCTCAGCTCTGGAAGGGTCTAGAGCCTCCATTTTTGCATTCAGGTCTAAGTCTCATGGCCCTCTATCAGAATCCAGAGTTTCAAGAAGATTGGAGCAACTCAAAATTTTGACCCGAAAAAAAAAAAACGACAGTGGTACCCCTTTCGTTTTTTTTCTTTTTGAGCGAAAGTATAAGTTTCTCCAATCTTCTTAAAATTCTGCATTCTGATAGAGGGCCATGAGACTTAGACCTGAGTGCAAAAATGGAGGCTCCAGACCCTTCCAGAGCTGAGACATTGAGATATTTATAATGTCTTACGACCCGTAAGGTCTGTCTGTGTGTTGGGGTGGTGTGGTTGTGGGTGTGGTCTGTTTCGCCTGCAGGGGAGTACCTGTGTCCAGAGCCTGACGTCATTGGAAATCCCGCAGCTGGAACTGATCCTCGGAAATTAGGGAGACGAATAAAGGGAGCCAGTGAAGCGCTCTCACTCATTTCCTTGGTGACCCGCATCCCTCTGGTCTGAACTACTGCTGAATTACTGCATGAACTACTGCATGAACTACTGTGTGAACTACTGCGTGAGCTGCTGTGTGAGTTTATGGTGCGGACAACGGCGGGACGTGATCCGCCGGGTGCTTGGTCTTCATTCCGCTTCACACCGTGCGTCCGGTTACCTTGGCGAAGCAGCTGGAAGTCACCGGGGTGAGCGGCCGGCAGTGGGATTTCCCGAGTTTGTTTTAACGCGGTGGAGAGCCGAGGGGACTGTTTGTTGTGTTGCATACCTCATTTTTGAATGCCATGTTAATTAATTTATGACACACCTCCTGTCTTTTAGATAGGAGTTTATTTCTTTATTGTTTGAAATAAATACATGAATCTGACACGTGTTTTGGGTCATCCTTGGTTTCCCACCTGGAATAAATATTTATTTTGTTCGTCCTTATCCCTAGACATACCAGGGACGTAACAAATGGCATGAATGCTATACGTGGGATCTCAATATCTCAGCTCTGGAAGGGTCTGGAGCCTCCATTTTTGCACTCAGGTCTAAGTCCCATGGCCCTCTATCAGAATCCAGAGTTTCAAGAAGATTGGAGCAACTCAAAATTTCGACCCGAAAAAAAACCGACAGTGGTACCCCTTTCGTTTTTTTCTTTTTGAGCGAAAAAATAAGTTTCTCCAATCTTCTTGAAACTCTGGATTCTGATAGAGGGCCATAGGACTTACACCTGAGTGCAAAAATGGAGGCTCCAGACCCTTCCAGAGCTGAGATATTGAGAAATTTATAATAGCATAAATGCTACGTGGGATCTCAATATCTCAGCTCTGGAAGGGTCTGGAGCCTCCATTTTTGCACTCAGGTCTTAGTCTCATGGCCCTCTATAAGAATCCAGAGTTTCAAGAAGATTGAAGAAATGTATTTTTTCGCACAAAAAAAAAAAAAAAAACGAAAGGGTACCACTGTCGTTTTTTTTTTTCGGGTCGAAATTTTGAATTGCTCTGATCTTCTTGAAACTCTGGATTCTGATAGAGGGCCATAGGACTTAGACCTGAGTGCAAAAATTGAGGCTCTAGACCCTTCCAGAGCTGAGATATTGAGACATTTATAATGGCATAAATGCTAAATGGGATCTCAATATCTCAGCTCTGGAAGGGTCTAGAGCCTCCATTTTTGCATTCAGGTCTAAGTCTCATTGCCCTCTATCAGAATCAAGAGTTTTGGGAAGATTGGAGAAACTTAAAAAAACAAAACAAAAATGAAAACACTGTCATTTTTTTTTTTTCGGGTTGCTCTGATCTTCTTGAAACTCTGGATTCTGATAGAGGGCCATGGGACTTAGACCTGAGTGCAAAAATTGAGGTTCTAGACCCTTCCAGAGCTGAAATATTCAAATTCCATATTGAATGATGCGTTTCCGTATTACTGAACCGCGTAAAAAAAGTCACGGTTATAAAAATACCCATGTCCGTGTGGACAAGGCATAAATCGGTTTTAGTGAGCACTTGTCCTTTGCCGAGATAATCCATCCACCTCACACAGGTGTGCCTTAGGCTGGCCACAATAAAAGACTGCACTGCATGAGGCAAATGGTGGTCACACCAGATACTGACTGACCTGTGCAATAGTCATATATATATATATATATATATATATATATATATATATATATACTGTTGTTGTTTTCCTTGTAATTTCAGGATCAACCAGCCTGAGGACATATAGAGTTTAGATCAAGGATAGACAGCATTACAAACTAAGAAGAGAACAAACAGTGACAAACTCTTAAGATAAAGTGTTTATTTAATAAATAAAATCTAAAATGGAGAACTGATCATTTAAATGCACTTGTGTAATTGTCAGGTAATACAGAAGAACCAACCCACAACCAGCACACCTATCCAAACAAAGAGATCACATTCTTAACAGAGAAAACTCGAGTGAAATCAAAAGCTAAACTGTCTCCTGTGTAGAGAATCAGTCATATCTTTCCCTCTCTATCAACTCATCTGTTCAGAAACACTCCACTTGCTCCCTCAAAATCCAAAAAGACTAATTTCTGCTGCATAAAACATATATAACAGTTCATTCCCATTATTTAAAATAGAAACTTTTTATTATAGCACTCTGTAATGGAATTTCTTTGTCATACGGAAATGATTTTCATGCTGAACGTGCTATATGGCATATCTAGACATACAGCTTCCTCTTAATGGAGACTCATACAGACAGACACTTTCACACTACAGACGGCACTCTTAGCATCTATTAAATCCCATAATAAGCCAGCTCAGAAAACTCTCCTGATATTCCACACTGATCAGGAGCACATGATCTTCATGCGCTGATGTAAACACAGGTTTCTTCCGTCCACCTCTGGTTCACCTCAAGGGGGCGTCAGTAAGACCACTGTAGGGAAGACAGAGAACATGTTGTCTGAGTGTGTTTTCACACCCAGCTCGCTTGGAGCATTTCCGGGAACCAGGTTAGTTTTATCCCTGGGTTAGTTTAGGCATATATGGCCTGTTCCAAATGGCACACTTCATATGATTGTTTAATGGCCGCCATGTTCATGTTCAGTTGGCAGTGTGTCCAATTTGTCATTTTAGGTCTTTTAGGCCCTCAATGCACACTTCTGCCGAGCCCGCATGGTGCTAGTATACTGTATACAAGTATCATGCGCTTCCGAATTGAGCTACAGGTCACAGAAATTGGTGTGACAAACGGTATACAATGCTAAAAGCCGCACCTGTCAGGGTTCTGTCACTTCTGTCTAGTCGATTTCTTGGTTTTGTGACAGAGCCCTGACGCTCCTGTTTTGTCGTGTGTGTGTGCCTTGTTTCATGTGCTGTCATGTTTTGTCTGGTGCTATGTTGCATGCAGCTTGTGTTTATCACTGGCAGTGTGCTTTCATGTTGTCATGTTTTGTGTGAACCCGGCTTATGAGTGTTCTCATTAGGTGTGTTCGATTCGGTTCGATTAGCATATTTCATTTTTGTGGTACTTGCCTTCATATCGTCCTCATTATCCTTTTGGCTTTGCTCTGTTGACCCATGAGAGCTGAACAGTTCAATGTCTAGCACACTTAAAGACAGCTCGGGTAAAGACTGTTGTTGGGGCTTGCCTTCAGTAGATGGAGGACTATCAATGCAAGCTGCAAGAAATAAGATGATGATTTACTGTCATAGCACTACGTCCTTTTATGTATATCAGCATAAAGAGAAGAAACGATGGATCATGTGTACTGACGTGTTGGTGAAGCCGCTGCCTCCATCCACATGGCATCTGTCTCAGTGTCCAGTCTCAGTTCCAGCACACGGATGTGATCTAAGAGCTCCTGTTTGTGAATAAAACACTAGCAGTCAGCAAGCATGACGTCAGATCGGATCAGTCAGACACAGATTCCGAAAGCTTTGACCTGTTTCTCCAGCTGATGTTGCTCTTGCTCCTTCTGCAGGGCTTTCAGACTGGCTCTCAGTTCCTATGATTTACACATGATGGTGAAAATTTCATTCAGTGTGAGGGAATTCATCTCAAAGCGTTTGCTAGCAAACTCCATCAGTTTTCGGATATATGCCTGTATTTGCTTAAGATGTTGGTATATGGTCATCATTGCCTTTTGAATTATAATGTCTTTCATGTAAGTTTTATTTACAAGTATAAATTATAAGCAGACACCTGAAGTGAGTTTTCCTTTTTTTTTTTGAGAGAGAGAAAGAAATTGAGATTTTTTTTATTGTTATATTGTTGATTCACGTACAATACATGTTTAATACATGGCTAACTTAGTTTTAATACTAGTGCCTGACTTCTTGTATGTATTCAGATCTGAGTGTTACACACTGCTATGGTTGTTTAATGTCATCTCTCTCTCTCTCTCTCTCTCTCTCTCTCTCTCTCTCTCTCTCTCTCTCTCTCTCTCTCTCTGTGTTTATTAAATTACCTCATTGGTGCAGCAAAGCTTGCAATATGGAAAACAAGAAAAAACAAAGAGTTGAAAGTTGGTTCAACAAATGTAGAAATGATGTTGAAGTGTATGGTAAAAGGAAGGATAAAAATAGAATTTTCATATTATAAGCTGATCAATGATGTTGAAAGGTTTTTAAGAATATGGGGTATAAATGAGGTTTTGTGTGTCTTTGATGATGCAGATTTATTTTTTACTTTTTAGTATATGTTTTAAATTATTTGTTGTTGAGGTAACAATAAAGATCTGTTCAACCTCTCTCTCTCTCTCTCTCTCTCTATGAATGATAGATTAATTTGGTGTTGATGTGCTGTTTCTGAAACAGTCCGATGTAAATGTCTACCACAGTGTGATATCAATGTGGAGGAATTAAAAAAAAAAAATCAACATGGGAGATTGGATTTAACCATTTATATATATATATATATATATATAGAGAGAGAGAGAGAGAGAGAGAGAGAGAGAGAGAGAGAGAGAATATATCATAGTATTTATTTTAAAAAATATTGATAATTCATCTGTGCACATTTTTTAAATTCATGTGGCTCATAATCTGTAATCAAAATAACTTCCCCCTCCCTCTTGCTTCCGAGCAGAACCTGAATTGAAATACAACATGTTCCTGGATCAACATCTTTGTTGATCCTGGAACAACATTTCAGTCAACCAATCAGATTCCAGGGACAAATTTACAGATTATGTCAAGTTTAGGGTTACAACAAGGGTTAAGTGCCTCTACATCCGTGTTATTCACTGATCATTTCTGATTTTAGGGAGAATATATGGGTAGGGTTAGGTTTAGGGGATATTGTTAGGACAACATTTTTGGACAGCTAGGAATGTTGTTCTAGGATCAACAAAATATGTTGTCCAGGAACGCGTCAAACTCAATGGCATCTCTTCTCTGATGACGAGGGCGGAGCAACCTGTCACTCACATGAGATCCACCAATAGCAAACAACAACTAGCCAATCAATTACCCACAGACAAAATCAAGCCCCGCCCACATTTACTCTTGTTCCAGAAGCGTTTCACTCAGATATTCGTCACAATAGCTTCAAGCCAAAATTCAAATATGCTTCCACATTCAAAGCCATTTATTAAGTTTCTTATCGAGCAAGTTAACTAGTGTGTCATGGCATCCATTCACATGAGTAATCAGGGGGGAAAACACTTCTGTAAACATATACATGTGCAATTTATAGTGGTGTGTCAGATCTATTTTGGTCAACTTATTTAAAGTTTTTTATAAAGCAACACTTGCCTCATCCTGGTGTTGCTCCAAGACCAGTAACCTGACGCACATATGTGCTGGGTATACAGAAGGCTCTGAACGAGGTGAAAGTTTAATTATAGGGCCATGCATGTGTCATGGAATATTTACCCGGTTGCAATCCTTCTCATTCCCAAGCTCCACTTCCAGTTTCTCTCGCTCTGTTCTCTCCTCCTGGAGCCACTCTTCCTTCTTCTGAAGCTCGCGGCTCAGTTTCTGGACTCGATCCTTATCCAGCTTTAACAAGAGCACAAAGATTTTGAGTCACACACTTACTAGTAAAGGCCAATTTATACTTCTGCGTCAAGGGTACGCTGTAGTGCATGGCGTAGGCTACGCACGTAAGCGACGCTATCATGAGCATTTATACCTCTGCGTTCACTTCTTGGTTGCTCTGCAGTACTGCTCCGAAACGCTAGTTGGCGGCGGAGGGTTTTAATGCTCCACTGTGTTAAGATTCCTCGCGGCTAGGTTACTACAAGCAATGGCGACTGAAAGAGAGTGGATCATGATGGAGCTTATTGAGGTGGAAAAACAGTTAATTATAGTGAAATTACTAAAACTAAAAGGCAGAAACGAGAGAAGACGTCGGAGGAGATGGTACGTGCAGAAATGCGTAGGAGAAAATGCGATGCTACCAAGCCGACCAATCACAGATCTTGCGGTCCACATCGTCGCGATGTGTAGTTACATTTTTGAGGAGGTGCGCATCAGGCCATGAAGGGTACGCGGTATGGTACGTGTCTACGCCGTACCTACTGCACGCACCCTACGCAGAAGTATAAATTGTCTTTAAGTGTTATGGCTGGACCAACCCAATCTCATGGTAATTCGTATTCGTACAAATTTGTAAGATTTTGCTAAATTGTACATATTTTACGAGTTGCCCAATTCGCATGAATTCATATGACATACACCTAACCCCGCCCCTCAACCTACCCATCACGTGGGTTTAGACAAATACGAATTAGACCTTTTACTCACTCTTACAAATTTGTACGAATTGGTCGAGGGATATAAAAGTGGTAGTACTGTAGTAACCTCAGCACTGTGTCTCAGAGCCTCTTTCTCCTGAGCCCAGACGGCTTGTCCCTCACGCAGAGCCAGGTTGGCCTGGGACAGTTGTACACTGATCTGTGCTGACTGCAGTCGGACCTGGTGCAACTCCGCATGGCTGTGGCTCTGCATGGATCCCAGTTCACTCAGATCCCTGCGAAGGGCATCGTTGCTGCGCTCACTGGCCTCCAGACGTTCCTGTAGGGTCCGCAGATCTGTGTGTGTCTGCTCATTCTCAATCTGCAAAGGAAATGCTCATTCTCATACAAATCATGCAGTTTTACAGCATATCAATTCTGAAGTCCACCTAATGTAGCACTGTTAAAGGCGCAATGTGTAACATTTTTGAGTATCTATTAACAGAAATGCAATATGACATCCATAACTATGTTTTCAGTGGTGTGTAAAGAACTTACTTAATAAACCGTAATGTTTTTATTACCTTAGAATGAGACATTTACATCTACAAAACCGTGGGCACCCCCTTCTAGGAAGGTCGAAATATTGTGATGTCACGTTTCTACCGTAGTGGAATGCGAACAAACAGCGCTACAGGGCGTGTTTCGTCACTACTCCCACTAAGGGAAGGGTGAGCAGTGGGCTGAGCTCTAAGTGCAAACTCACAACCGAACCGCTAGATGTTACTAAAAATCACACACCGCACCTTTAACTTTTTTTTTGTTAATTTTAACGAAAAGCCAATACATTAATCCTTCTTCCAACGCATGTTTTTATCTTTCTCTGATTCAATATATCCGTAAATAAAGTTACTGTGGCTGTTTTGACGCGTGTCTGGTGTGGGATTTTTCAAAGGTTAGTTCAGTGTGTGTATGTGTGTGTGGAATTTTCAGAGGTTAGTTGTCACATTGAGTGAGAAAGGTTGATATGGAGCCACTAAATCTTCGGGGAATCACCCGTTTTAAACAAACGCTGAACAGAGGAGTCTGCTGGAGAAAAGAAAACGAGACAGCTCGTAATAAAACAAGAATCAACATTGGGTTGGCTTTTGGAGATGGCGAGAACTGGGGGATTTGAAATGTTGTAAATGTCAAGCTGAGATGATGGTGTTTTATTACTCTACAGGTGAGTAAGGTGTTTTATCGGACAGACTGTAATGTCTTCAGCTAATCAGCTTAAGAGCCTTTCTAAACTGGTTATATATCATAAGCTTAGTAGTGAATATTTAATGAGCAGTAGGAGAATAATATTCACGAAGCACAACCAAATCAATGTTCTTCTAAAAAATGCATGAAGTTTTGTTTTAACAAATACGTGATGTGATCACAGAATGCAGAAAATATTACAATGTAGAATGTAAAAAGTTAGAACATTCTGATGTTGAATTTCATATTCTTAATTTCTTAATTTACACAGTTGTTGAGCTGAACTGAATAATTGTCAGTAATAATATTATTGATTTGACTGCACCGACACTATTGGATGAGAAGGCCGCTGAATTGAGCTGAATGATGACTCTTCTGTTTTCTGCAGAGCTGCTTCACACCTGAATCTACTTTGTTTCATAATTTGCTTCATAAACCGAAAACTAGTCAAAACTGAACTGACTAATGAATAATAACACCACTGTCTTTTTAGAGCTGCTTTACAGCAGAGTTAAATTCATTTTAAACTCATTTTATTAATCTGAGGCTGCTTTGAAACAATCTGCATTGTATAAATGAAGATAACACATGACCAAATTTATATATAATATAATTCACCTGCAAATCCTTCTTCTCCTTTTCTTCATCTCGCCTTTGTATGGTCATCTTTTTAACTCTTTCCTTCATTCTGCAGAGGAAAATGGCATGTTTCTATCTTATAGTGTTTTCTTTTCCTTAACCGCTATTTGACTCAATCGGTAAGTTATGTTATTGAAATGAACGTAAATCACCTGTCCAGCTCGGCCTCTATGTCCTGTTTTTGTGGAGTCAGAATGGCAATCTCCTGTTCGAGTTCTCTGATCCGCTGATGGTTTTCAGCTCTCTCTGCTAGTAGTCCATTGAGTTCAGCAGACATGCTTTCATGGGTGTTCTGCACATCCTGATGGTAAATGGTGGTTTTGTTTTTGCTTTTCTGATTACAAATTTGAAGTGGTTCAGAAACAAAAAATGTACTGGGTAACACTTTACAATAAGGCTCCATAGTTAACTATATTAGTTGAAAATTTCTTCTAAAGCATTTAAAATTATGTCATTAATTACTCGCCTTCATGTCATTCTAAACTTGAAAGACCTTTGCTCATCTTCGGAACACAAATAAAAAATTTTTATGAAATCTGAGAGCCTATGCAACTACCACTTTATTTACAAAATATGAATCTCGAACGCACGTCCACATAACAACAAATGTTCTCGCATTAACACAACACGCATACGTCATACGAGATTAATATTTTGCAAAAAATATTTTGTGTGCAAACAAAGCACTTGCGATACTTTAATGATGTCTTTAATACCCTTCTGAGGCGTGAAAGTGGTAGTTGCTTAGGCTGTCAATATGCAGCCGTTATTTTGAAATCGAAAGCGAGGCTCCGGTGGGAAGTAAACCGGAATTGCTGCCGCCTTTAATCACAGGAGAGTCGCGAATACGTTGGCGTATTGTTGTGTTTAATGTAGAAATTAGTTATTCTGAAACTGTACATACATTTCTTTCACACTTTAGACTATATACAGTGAAATTCATTCATAAATAAAATATTTTTTATATATATAATTCAGAAAGTAAAAAAGAAGCAGGAACAAACTATATACATATCCTATTTGGATATTATTATCCAATAGTAGTAATTGAGGCAGCAGCTTCAGGTTGGTAGTCCAAGGCATTGTTGTTTATCTATACTTCTGGGGTTCTTCCCACCGGAGCTTTCAATTTCAAAATGGCGCCTGCTTGAAATCAGCGTATGGAGGGACAGAAGGATTTCATCAAAAAGATCAGAGTTCATCAAAAATATCCTCATTCGTGTTCCGAAGATGATCAAAAGTCTTATGGGTTTGGAATGACATGACAATGAGTAATTAATGACATAATAATCGTAATGTTTTCACAAACACTTTAATTTAAACTTTTACTAATACATTATTAAAATCAAAAATTGTAACTGTCTATTAAATGATATTTGTAAGCTAATATGCACTAACAATGAACAGTTGCATTTTTATTAAATACTGTTAACAGAGATTATTAAATACTGTAAGAAACATATTACTCATTGTTAGATAAGGTTAGTCAATGCATTAACCAACATTAGCCAATGAAACCTAAAATTTTGATTGTACCTTTTGTTTTTGCTCCAGTTCCTCAATTTTTTCAGTGCTTTGCCTCAGGTTGTCTTTTAACTCGTCAATCTGACTCGTCATCTTATGTCGTACTCTTTCAAACTCATCTCTGTCCGTCATCCATTTCTCCCTCTGTCTCTCCACCTCAACATCTGCAGTCTCAAACCTCTTATGCAACTCATGTAAATCACGCTGACATCCTTCTAAGAGACTCTGTGGAAATATATATATACATATATATATATATATATATATATATATATATTTAAAATGGGAAGAGTGTAAGTAAAATATTATGGCAGAAACAGTGGCCTAAAAAGTTACCTAAAAAATCATGTCTTTGTTAAAAAACAGTAAATGATACTTGAGCTAGCTTTTTGGCTAATTGGTTTCAAAACTTTGTTTTGTGAATCAACATTTTCTTTAAAATAATGCAATGACAGACATCTTTTACATGTGTCTCCTTTGGTGTCCAAATAGAAATTGTGGCATTTGAAAAACAGTGTTGTTACAGTCAGATCTGTTCTCTGATCTCTAGTGTTGAATGAAGCCTCACCTGTAGGACCAGAGCCTTCGGCACCACCATCAGGAGGTCGTCTCCATCCTCGTCTTCCTCGCCGTTTTTCTCCTGCTCTAGCGTAACAAGTTCATCCAGAGGTCTTGGAGCACAGAAAGAAAATGGAGAACTGACTGCAGATACCTCACCATGTTCATCCACATACACAAACTGATACGCCTCCCCACCGGGTTTTGGTAGATAAGATGCTGAAAAAAGAGTGGGATAAAGATCAGAAACAAAAAAACACATACACATAAATGGCCTGCTACAGCCTTGTAGTGACTGAGACAGTATAAACACAAAATAATTTGTTTAATTTACCAAACAATCCACAATACCCCTCACCCAATGAGTGAAGGTTTACAACTCAAAGAAATCATAATCGTATAACCTCTAACCACTTGAGATATGTACAATCGGATTACTCTATGTAATCATGCATGTTCTTTTATCTCTAAACTCTTTGAATGAATGGTTTACTTAATCAAGATCACATGTACACTCACCTAAAGGATTATTACTGTGTTTGACCCCCTTTCGCCTTCAGAACTGCCTTAATTCTATGTGGCATTGATTCAACAAGGTGCTGAAAGCATTCTTTAGAAATATTGGCCCATATTGATAGGATAGCATCTTGCAGTTGATGAAGATTTGTGGGATGCACATCCAGGGCATGAAGCTCCCGTTCCACCACATCCCAAAGATGCTCTATTGGGTTGAGATCTGGTGACTGTGGCGGCCATTTTAGTACAGTCAACTCATTGTCATGTTCAAGAAACCAATTCGAAATGATTCAAGCTTTGTGACACGGTGCATTATCCTGCTGGAAGTAGCCATCAGAGGATGGGGACATGGTGGCCATAAAGGGATGGACATGGTCAGAGACAATGCTCAGGTTGGCCGTGGCATTTAAGCGATGCCCAATTGGCACTAAGGGGCCTAAAGTGTGCCAAGAAAACATCCCCCACACCATTACACCACCACCACCAGCCTGCACAGTGGGAACAAGGCATGATGGATCCATGTTCTCATTCTGTTTACGCCAAATTCTGACTCTACCAACAGAAATCGAGACTCATCAGACCAGGCAACATTTTTCCAGACTTCAACCGTCCAATTTTGGTGAGCTCTTGCAAATTGTCGCCTCTTTTTCCTATTTGTAGTGGAGATAAGTGGTACCCGGTGGGGTCTTCTGCTGTTGTAGCCCATTCGCCTCAAGGTTGTGCGTGTTGTGGCTTCACAAATGCTTTGCTGCATACCTCGGTTGTAACGAGTGGTTATTTCAGTCAAAGTTGCTCTTCTATCAGCTTGAATCAGTCGGCCCATTCTACTCTGACCTCTCGCATCAACAAGGCACAACAGGACTGCCGCATACTGGTTGTCTTTCCCTTTTCACACCATTCTTTGTAAACCCTAGAAATGGTTGTGTGTGAAAATCCCAGTAACTGAGCAGATTGTGAAATACTCAGACCGGCCCGTCTAGCACCAACAACCATGCCACGCTCGAAATTGCTTAAATCACCTTTCTTTCCCATTCTGACATTCAGTTTGGAGTTCATGAGATTGTCTTGACCAGGACCACACCCCTAAATGCATTGAAGCAACTGCCATTTGATTGGTTGATTAGATAATAGTATTAATGAGAAATTGAACAGGTGTTCCTAATAATCCTTTAGGTGAGTGTATATCATGTTTGGTATCCAATTCAAATGATCATGTACATTATATGTCAATATGCAGCATATTAGTGAATCTTTAATAGTTTCTCAGTCAACAACCAATCAAATTATCAATCACCATACTAGAAGACAAAGGAAGACTTTCCCTCCAAAGAAACAACTTTATTGGCTCACTCGCCACTCACTCGTGACATCTTCATGATCTGATCACAAGATCAGGCCCCCTTTTTTCCCTTTGCTGATTCTGAGAAATTGAAGATGAGTTAGAAGTCTTCTATGAAGCCCTAACTTTGTGCCAGACTGTGTGTCCTTGTCTTTCCATCCACCAAAGATCATTCAACTCATTCACCAACTCCAACTGGTTCTCTCTCATAAAGACAACTTCAGCAAAGTTCAACTGGAGCCTCAACAAATTGCATCAGGACAGTTTTAATCAAATGGCCAAGACATGCATATATCAAACTCAGTCTCATTAGTTTACACATTAAGCATCCACTACCTCTTTTAATGAAGTGTGTTAAACTAAGAAGCCGATGGTTTGCTCAAGACTGTCGATCTGCTGAAGCATTTCAAACAATGCTATAACTTCTTGCTTTCCTGTATTCTTCCTCAACTCTCTTTCCATTGGTAAAGTGGATGGATATATGTTAACCCAGACAGCAAACTGACATTGAATCAACGTGGAAACGACGTCTCTCATGACATTGAAACAACGTTGATTTGCTCATCGAATTAACGTTGAACCAACGTCAGACGCGGCATTCTTCAAAGCTAAATGAAATCGAAAATTGGTTTGCTTTCATAACGTTGAAACAACACGTTGATTTCAAGTTGATTTTCCGTTAGTTTTGAAAGAATGACGCATCTGACGTTGGTTCAACGTTAATTCGATGAGCAAAACAATGTCAGATCAACGTTGTTTCGATGTCATATTTCCACGTTGATTCAATGTCAGTTTGCTATCTGGGAAGTATTTAGTCTGTTTACTAAAGACTTGTTTTGTCACAGGTAAAGTTGTTTGTGGTTTATGCTCATCTATTAATCATGCAGATTTTTGCTGAGTAGTACTCCAGAAATTAACCTGTCTTAGAATTAAAAACTATTAACTTTGAGTTTTCATATAGTGTTAATTCTGCTACATTAAGTCAATTCTTACAGCTGATCCAAATTTATAATAGTTTTAACAACTCATACTTCCTTAATTTGCTACACCCTTAAAGATGTCAGGCACTTGCAATCGTGTTGCAATAGTTATAAAGTATCAGATAACTTGAGTGTTCTTGTTCTACCAAGAACTGCAGTTGTTATTTCACTGGGACATGTGACAGCATGCATGACCAGCAAATGTATCAAATAGGCAATAAACAAACATAAATAAAATAGTATATTATATATCACATGCAAACCTACAGTAAAAGGCCACACTGCAGTTGGCATCTGTTCCGGTTTGGTACCCTTCAGGTGCTAGAGCCCAGGCAAACGTGTGGTAATCTTTCACTGTCAGCCATCCCTCCTGTGAAACAAGATGAATTACAACAACAAAAAAAAAAAATTGCTTTGCAGGTTTATGCTTTCCACACATTAGCTGCATCCAAATTCAGAGGCTGCATCCTTTTAAACGGAAGTAGGTTTCAGCTTACTCAACAGTCACATTACTGAAATATGACCGTCCCATGCAACAATGCCGGGATACGGCCTTCCAGCTGTAGTGAATAAACATTGTGATTTACCTTAAATAGACCTATCCAGTCATGACTGCTCCAATCGTGTTGACTACTTATAGTGTAGCGACAGTCCACCCTCGTATCTGAGAAATAGTGCTCTGCAACATCTCTGAAGTTCACAGTTCTGTTTCCCTCCATAGTTATAAATCAGCTCAGATGTTTGCACTGACAAACACAATCAGAAACAAAAACCTACTTTGAAAACTCTTTTGCTTATGTACGTTCAGCATCCAAGACCATAACACACTGCTGTTCACATGGATCAGATGTACATTTTCAGTTCTTCCAAATATCTCAAGTGTCTGGAAATATGAGTCAGCACAATCATGTTTGTGTAGTCGGCTATATTTAGTGTCTTTCCATTAAACTACAAACTACAGGAATGCTTGACACCCCAGACGGCTGTATAAGATGTCCATGTGTTGTGAAACTGCATGAGACATGGGGTAACAGAGTTCTGTGAATGTTTACACAGCAGGAGTAGCTGTCAAATCAGACTAATCATTCTCATCTCATTTAATCTTTTCATTTAATCGTTGTACAAGTAAACACTTCAGTAAAAATCCATTACAGTTATTAAAGTCTTGTATTGGCAGCTGAATGGTTTCACAGTCAGTAACTGTTTTTACTTTTTGAGAGCTTTTCAATCAGTAAAATGCCACATTTCCCACATGAGTTTAGTAGACAGTTATTCACAAAGTGAACATCAAGTTTTTATCTTGAAACTGAACCCATGACTTTCGTTCAGCTACGGCAACTCCAATCATGAAAAGCAGAAAATAAGCATGCAAATGAACAACAATAAATACTACGAGGAAGTTTTCATGGTCATGTCATAGGAACACCATGGCTAAAATAACTTTACTCTTACCTTAATACAAAGATAGGTTAATTGTAGAATCAGATAAGACCGTTCACGTCCCTGTACGAGTGCTTATGATCTTGATGAGACTTAAACTGACTGTGTGAGAGCAACAAACAATAACAAATGCACATGTTGATGAACTGCCCCCTCTGTTGCCCTCTGGGAAATGAAGTCCTGAACATCACCAATCACTCAGTGAGATCACTGTCATTGCCACAATGTTCATCATTGTCTTTTAAATGGAATTGATGTAACATTTTTAATAATTTGCAAGAAATATTACATTGCATACACCTACCTGAGAGAGAGAGAGAGAGAGAGAGAGAGAGAGAGTGTGTGTGTGTGTGTGTGTGTGTGTGTGTGTGTGTGTTTTATATTCCCTGCTCTGTGGGAAAAAAATTATTTTAGATTTTGTTTGGACTGTATGAGAGGGATAATGTGGAACAGTGACAACAAGGACCACAGAAAAGTATGATGGGAAATTTCTAAATTCTGCAAAAGACATAAATCACGAGTGCGAGGAGTGACAATGTTGTTGATGAATGCCATAAAAAGCACTGAGAAATGAACTGGGGGAAATGTATTAAGAGCAGTGAAATGGTTCCCTACATGACAAGAATGAAACTGTAGAGAAAGTATAAATAGTGAAGAGTGAAAGATTGAGGGGTTGAGGTGGTGGTGGGTTAGAAGGAGGATTGAAGGTACTTAGTATGCAAAGCCAAGCGTCACCATCTGCCAAGTGGAGCGATCCTTGTCATATAACTGTCGCTGCGCTTACAGCCACATAAAGCATGTTCTGGGTTTAGTCATTCCACAAAATAAATGACAGCTGTATGCTTGGTGGGCCAAGAGGGAATGAGGAATAGTGAGGAAGAGGGAATAGTGTTTGATTGTCCATATGACCAAATTCCCTGTTTTATTTTTTAGGACATTCTTGGGATTCTTATCAAGAATTTCACCCTCAGTTTATCTTTGTTTTTTTAACTCATGCAGGCGATACAGTCCTCATTAAAGACACACAAGCTGCATTGGAAATCTTATTATAAGTGTGTAATTATATGTTGCCAGCCACCGCCTAGATTTTTGATAATTTTCACAAAAATGTCAAGTCCCAAAAATATGTCGTTGTGTGAATATCTGAATATATCATGCATTTGTTTTGATTTTTTTAATCAATGCTTGAATATGAGTAAATTTCATAAAAAGTGACATTTTGAACAAAAATACTTTTATCGGTTGATTTTGCTCCTTTTTTGCCTGTGTTTTGATTAGGAGAGCTGAAGCATGCACTATAGCGCCCCCTCCCGTATAACAGGGAAAACATAGATTACCTTTAAAAGCTCCTCAAACTCCTCATACAAAAGCTCATAATTTAAGGAAAATTCTGTCAATGGTGGGAAAAGAGAACGAGTCATCAATATGCACTGCTCTGGATCATACACGGCCTGCCTTTATGGTCCAAAGCAGTCTACATCAGTTTAATATAATGAGTGCCGTACCGAACCGTGCCGTAGGGCCTATACCATGCAGTGGAAAAGCGCCAGGTGAGTTCACAAGGAAAGAGTAAAAGACGACGAGACCTTCATACGAGCAGTGCTCAAGCTTATTTGTATTCCCTTCTGATTAACTGTAGTCACATTTTTCTACCTCTGTAATCTGTAATCTAAAACCATTTTTGACTACAAAAGCTACATCTGCATAGATCACATGACGAGTGATTACATTCGTACTGAGACGTGTGCTAGACCTTCTCACTTACACACACCTCTTTGATTTACCCTTGTGTTTAATGGCCCTGCAGCAGATCGGCTGTAAATCTTGCCATAAAATTGCTTTGCGGTCAGTGGTGCCATCAATTGCCTTTTTGGCTGCTCTGATTAAGGAGAAAAAGACAATAAAAAGCAGCATTTTCTGTAAATTGTACCCATCCTTCCATTTGCAAAGCACTGGAGTAGTGTGGCACTAGAATTTTAATGATGGAAAGGGGAAAAATAGAGATAGAGAAGGAGAGGGAGTGTGAAAGAGAAATGAAGAAATAGAAAGTGAGAGTAGAACGACAGTTTTCCTCTTTACGGAAATTCAAACACTAGTGTCTCAGGGTACGTTTATACAACAACGATATACTAAAGGCAGAAAGGTTAAGTCCATTTTTCACTACAGATGACAACTTTGTCAAAATGATCTGGTTCACACCGTTTCGCGAAAATAACTAAAAACTCTGTATTCTGCTTGCAGGGTAGTAAGTGGCGATGTAACCGTGTGCATGACTTCGCCGTTTACAGAAATTCACTTTTTGTAGGACATGGAGACCATAACTAGCCTGCAAAGCCAGACCTATCAAGATGTTAGTCTTGAACACACTTTGCTGCAAAATAATTTTTGCTGCCGCTAGGGTGTGTCTAGATTTCTAGGCTAGACCATAACACTATCATTTTCAAAAACTTGCACTGTGAAACACGTTTTCAAAAGTTCGCGTTTTCAGGCCCACAAAACTCTGTTGTCGTGTAAACGAACGCCAAAATTCATTCATCTTTTTCAATTTTAGTTGAAAACCGTGTCATGTAAACGGCCCCTAATCTTTAAACACTCTAAGGGGTAATATAGGACTAATAACACTCTAAACACTAATTAAAAACTGAAAACTTCGTATACGTTTTGGTTGTTCATTTACACGACAACAGCATTTTGGGGGCCAGAAAAATGCAAACTTTTAAAACAATACCATTATTGCATTACATGTTCAGCCAAGAGGTCCATAATGTTTCAAAATGGCATCGCCACCTGGTGGCCTGGAATGAATATTGCAGCGTTTTAGTCGTTTTCACAACACAGCATTTTTTGTTTTTAAATGTACTGTTTTTTTTAAACACATAGTTTTTCAATGTTCTTTAAAGTTTACAATTAGAGATTTTTTCAACCTCCATTCACAGTTTCCAAGTATTATCCAACCACAAAACTGAATCCATTTATTCAGAGCAGCAAAACTCAACTCATCTCTTGATTAACTGAGAATAGTTTTTATAATAAAATGTAAATGTATTATATTTTATGATAATTATCTGTTCTTCCCTTCTATATAATATCTACACTGAGTTGTTTACAAGTATTTTGTCATGATAGATTCTAATCATACCTATTGTTAGTTGTGGTAGTAACCCAGATATGTAACCAAACATATGTTAATAAAATATATATAAAAACATTATATAAAATGTTTACTCTTGTTCTATTCTATTTGTAGGTGTAATTCTGTTCATTCAGAAATGTCTCTACTTACATTGAGATTTTGGGATCTTTGCTGCCACCTACTGCATTCTTGCTTTCACAAACCTCCAAACTCTGTTTTTGCAACGGCCTTATGACAACAAAATGCTTGCTTATTATATATTTAAATTTCCTGCTCCCCTAAATGTATGTCAAATTCAAGCTCAACCCTTTTAGGGCTTAGCTAAGGGCCATAATTATATATTATTATTTTAATTTCAGAAGGTCATGGAATAGTGCGACTCATCCGAATCTTTGCAGATTTTTTAGTCATCATCATACAGAAGTCATGCATTCTCCCTAATACAGACGTGTCTGCTCATGTAAGTAGCATTTCCACTCGTGCAGCACAGCAATAAACCTGAGGGCACACCGATCAACAGGCACACTATAATACATGTATTTTCCGTGGTTAAAGCAGTTTCTGAGGCATGTTATATTAACTGAGCTTCATACTTATTCTTCATGCGAGAGAAAACTGTTCAGAGAATGTCAAGTTATTCACTGTAATTTATTAGGTTGCCATGATTAATTCAGAATTGGATGTGCATGCCTTGTTGTCCAGCAAAGCCCATGACCAGAGTCATGTTATATGGGTTTATCTAGGCCTATAGTATTATGAGCCTTTGCCACAATCTTTCCATCAACCAGAGTAAAATGAGGAGTGGGGGTTTTATGAATGAATGGCTATGGTAAAGTGGGGGATGGGTGAGGAAAGACAATTTTATTGTTGTAGTTCTTTTTTGCCTGCAGGGTGGCGCTACTGCGCACATGGTGGAGATGGTTTGTCTCGAACTAAAGGCGGGTGAGAGGTTTCAGAGACAGAAAATGTGGATTGCAGACTTCTGGCTCATTACAGCAGTAAATCTTGTCATTGATAACATCAAAATGTGAATGGTTGCCAAGTTGTTGACAATGAGTTCTCTCTTTAAACACGCAAGCAGTAGAAAGAGATTATCTGTCTTGAGTCATTATAAGACGGTTCGTATGATAGTCATTTTTCAAAAACACTGTTTTTCTTGCCCTACATTTCCAAGAACACTAAGATGATTGTGTTGTTAGACATCCACATGGAAAACTGCCTTTATATCCTCCAAGAAAATGCACTTACATTTACAAAGACCCTGTTTTATTTTATTCAATAAACTGAATACTCGAATTGCAAGAGCTAAAGACATATTCAGAGTAAGTTATATTTTTAGGAGATGGGCTTTCTCATTCTTGGCTAGACATAGGTGGCCTGGATATGTCTTCGCTTCTTCTCACAGACTGTCTCTCTCTATTTCAGTGCAAGGTCATAAAAGTCTTTTTGAACTACTGTGTAAAAACGAGCACCTGCATACGAACACAGCCACTGTGATGCCGCTGGCGTGTTTATGATGCCATGGTTCTCGCACCCAACACAAATGCTTGCAAATGCTTTCTGTCGCACACATAAGCATAGCCTACGTCCTGTCAGGACCACCTCTGTCACATATTTATTTTCATGAGATACACCATGGTTTAACAACTTAAAAAAACAGAAGCAACTATGAAGTACAAAAACAAACCCGATTTAATAATGTTACCTGTCTGAACTAAAGCTATAGCTATTTGGCTAGCCTCCTTGGTTAGGCCACATTATCCTGAAGCCTGAATAGAATCACAGCAATTCATTGGCTGATGGTGCAAGGCACTGCAGATACGACCAGTGTTGGGGACAGTTACTTTTAAAAGCACGCATTACAACATTGCGTTACTCCCTAAAAAAATAACTAAGTTACAGTTACTTTTTATTGAAAGTAATGCGTTACATTAGGCTACGTTTGCATTTTTTTCTCACCTTGTTTGTTTGTTTGTTTTTAATA